GGGCTTGCTGGGTAGTAGATCAGAAAAAATCCATTTTCGTGCTGACAGTTTCTTTTTAGTCCTCTTTCAAGATCGAATCCAGGACACTTTGATCCATAAACTATGCCATGCAGTCTCCTGGCTGCTTGATGGCATCAGGATTCACATGGTAATTCATGGCAATATTATGCTCAAAAATGCAATTCAGTACACCCAGAGCTGCCTAAGGTCACCCGTTGCCATAACTATACAGTTAGCTACAAGATCTATTACGAATGGATTCTGTGCAAATGCAGGTAAGGCCTTTCCAGAGTTTTTCCAATTGTTTTGTCCTTCCGGCCTCCGAAGCTATTGTTTGTTTTCTTTTTCTGCTACTGGGAATTGAACTAAGGGACTCATGTGTGCCAGGCAAACACTACATGGCACCCCTGCCTGAGCCATATCACCAGCCAGCCCTCTTTCTTGTGGTTTCTGTTTTTTTTTTTTTTTTTTTGAAACAGAGTCCCAGCAAGTTTTCTATGCTGGTCTTGAACTAGCTTTGTAGCTTAGGCAGGCCTTGAACTGTTACGGGACCAAGTAGATCTTTAGTAAGTCTATGGACTGTCTGACTTAAGGAGTCAATCTCACTATTTCTGTGTTCTCTTTCTCCATTACCTCCCCTAATTTGAGCTGACTTGACCCTGCTGCTGCCTGGGGCTCCTCAGAACCCACAGAAAATTGCTTTGGGTACAAGGCTAAGGAGTTGGAGCTGATGTTGAGGTGTTGTGATTTTTTTTTTTGGTATGGTGTCTCCTTCCTCACCAGGATTGGCCGCTATACCAGATCCTTGAACACTGAATGCTTGCTTCATCTGTGCCGGACGCAAAGGGCCTCTGGTCTTGCTGCTATTATTTTGGAAGGATGGAACCCCCATTGTGCCCCATGTGAGACCATTTGCCAACTATGTGCAGGAGCGTTGTAGAGCAGTGTTTAATGGGACAGCAGGAATCAGCCATGGGGCTGTGATGAAGATTCAGCAAGGATTATTTGCCAGTAAACAAAAGGAAAATCCTTAAGGTTTTCCTGGAGTATATTTATGTGAGCCAAATCCTTGACTGACATGAAGTTCTAGAAAACTCTATTTCTGTAAGGCTTTAAATATTGGAGTTTAAAAGTGTTTTCTGACTTGTTATTAATGGTGATTGTTCTTAACAAAGAATTCTTTTGCTAACCATACAACCCTTGACACTACTTGAAGCTTTTGGATCCACCTTGGATCTTAACTTTGACTATGTAGGTTTTTGTTTTGTTTTGTTTTGGTTTTTCGAGACAGGGTTTCTCTGTGTAGCTTTGCGCCTTTTCTGGAGCTCACTCTGTAGACCAGGCTGGCCTCGAACTCACAGAGATCCTCCTGCCTCTGCTTCCTGAGTGCTGGGATTAAAGGCGTGCACCACCATTGCCTGGCAACTATGTAGTTTTAACATGTGGAAAGAAACAGAAGAAAATGATGTATCCTGGGCAGGGGGGGGGGGGGAGAACCTGAGACTATTGTCGGAAAAGAGTAAGCTGTAAAGCCCTGCCTCACAGCTTACTGCTGCCAGCCTATCAAACACCTCCGTGTGTGACGAGCCAGCCTGCTTCATAAATTCCAACTGCTCCTGGCTTTGAGTGATGCTGTCTACGCCATGCAATTATTCAGAAAATAAATATTTTCATCTCACTTTATGGCTGTCTCCTTCAAGTGCTCCAGCAGATTCCTCCCTATCTCTGGGAGCTATGGAGGGTATGGACCCAACATTGTACTAGTGTATTCATGGGGATACCACAGAGAATGACAACCAACTTGGGGCTTAGAGAAGCACGGATGTATTCTCTTAGAGTTTGGGAGGTCGTCACGAGTCTAGGATGAGTCACCTAGATTCCGATCAAGGAGCTGAGAAGCCTCTTCGTTCTGGTAAATCCATTTCTCTGTCTTTTCCAGTTCCTAGAGGCCTTCCCCAGCCCCTGGTTCATGACTGCTTCAAAGACAAATGTCTTTTTTCCTTTCTGTCACTTCTATAGACTCTTGTAATGACACTGGGTCCACTGAGAGAATTCTTGTGTGTGTGTGTGTGTGTGTGTGTGTGTGTGTGTGTGTGTCCGTCCTGGGGAAGCCAGTGGCAAACCTTCAGTTTCATTCCCAAGAGCTGTCCCCTTGTGTTTTGAGACAGTTTCTCATGTAGTTGTCGGGCTTTCCAATTAGGCTAGGCTGGCTAACCAGCAAGTTAGTGTGTTCCTCCTGTCGCCGGCTCCCCAGGACTGGGGTTACAAGTGCACACTACCATGTCTAGCTTTTTCTGCGGTTGCTGGGACCAAATTCAGCTCCTGTGCTCACATGGTTACTTTATAAATTGAGCCCTCTCTTCAGCCCATTATTATCATTATTATTTTTATTACTTACTACTATTTTTTTTTGTTTTGTTTTTCGAGACAGGGTTTCTCTGTGTAGCTTTGCGCCTTTCCTGGAACTCACTTGGTAGCCCAGGCTGGCCTCGAACTCACAGAGATCCGCCTGGCTCTGCCTCCCGAGTGCTGGGATTAAAGGTGTGCGACACCATCGCCGGGCCCTTACTACTATTTTTGATAGGTCTCATGTAGCCTAGGCTGCCCTCGAATTTCTTTTCGGGGAAGGAGCATGTTTGTGTCCCAGCACACAGTGAAGGTCAGAGGACAGCCTTTGGGAGTCAGTTCTCTTCTATCTTGTGGGTCCCAGAGATTGAACTCAGGTTGTCAGGCTTGGTGACAAGCAACCTTATCTGCTGACCCACCTGGCTCGGCCCTGACCTTGGATGCTATTTAGCCAAGGCAGGACCATGGACTCCTGGTCCTGTCTCTGCCTTCCAAATACTAGGGATTATAGGCATAGACTACTATGACCTGCCAAATCTTATTTTAAAATGAGTTGGTTCATAGATTAGTAACCTCAGTTCCCCTTTGCCATGTTTGTTGGCTTGGGTTTTTGTTTGGTTGGTTGATTGGTTGGTTTTTTGGAAACAAGATTTCACTGTGTAGCCCTGACTGGCCTGGAACTTGCTAGGTAGATGAGGCTGACTTCAGACTTACAGATAACTTCCTGCTTCCCAAGGGCTGAGATTACAGGTGTGTACCACCACACACTTGTGCTTCTTGTCTGAGACAGGACTTTCCTCAAGTAGCCCCAGACTAGTCTCGAGTCCACAGTGCCACCCAGGCTAGCTTTATGTTGTTCATCTCCCTGCCTTCTCCCCCCAAGTACTCGGATTACAGGCATATACCACCACGCACAGCTATTCCCTTTTGCCACATAAGGTGACCTAATCACAAGTTCTGGGAATTGGAGCATGGATGTCTTGAGGGGTCCAGTTTTTGGCCTGCTACAAATAATGCTTATCTTTATCACTATACCATTACTGATACTTTAATAAGCAGGACATATCATTTTAACATTTTCCTCTTGCTTCTCATTTTGCAGAGGGATGGAGTAGTCTTTGGAACACTGAGGCTAGATGTGATGCAGGTATATATAGAGCAGGGCAAGCTTCCCCTTCCCTCCCGGGCTCCAGCATATCTGCAGCTTCAAACAAAGTCCAGCTTGTTAGAGAGGGTCATGGCCCGTCTGTGACTTCACTGGGGCACTGATAGGCAGTGGGTAGCTCTGTCACCTGCGCTTCTGGAAAGCTCTGGTTATTTTTTTCCACTCAGCTTTAGATGTGGAAAACGCTCCTGTTGGCCACTTCTTTCTTGGTAGCTATGTGCTAACGACTGCTAGCAAATCATCAGGCCCTGTTGCTGGCGTGTGTGTGTGTGTGTGTGTGTGTGTGTACAGGTGTACATGTATGTGAAGGTCAGAGGAGCACATTGGGTGTTCTCTACTGCCAGGGTCTCTTCCTGAACCCGGAGCTCATCTCTTCCCCTCAAATCCAGGCTGGCGGCCAGCCAACCTACCCCACAGTATTGGGGTTAAAGGCACACATGGTCATGCCCAGCTTTTACATAAGTGCTGGTAGTCTGAACTTGGGTCTTTGTGTTTGCTTAGCCAGCATTTGTACCACCTGAATGACCTCAAACCCATTTCTCACCAGTAAGATCCTGTACTATCCAAATAAGCAACACAAGCTTCTCTGACTGGCCTGTGATCTCATTGCCTTATCCCAGGCTATCCTACAACCTCATTATCTGTCCTTCCCTTACCCAAACCCCAACTCCAGCCAGCTGAGATCACTTACTATTTTTTGAAACAGGGTCTCTGTGTAGCTCTGGCTGGCCTGGAACTTGCTCTGTAGATCAGGCTGACCTTGAACTCATGGAGATCCACTTGCCTCTGCCTCCCAAATACTGGTATGTACCACCACACCTGGCCCAGCTGAGACCACTTATAAACTCCCCAAAGCATTGCTATTTTCAGCCTCTCCACCTCTCTACTGCCCTCCCTTCAGCCTAGAAATAAAACACTTCTTCCTTCTCTTACCCCTGGAGATACCACTTGCCCCTTAAGCCTCCAGGAAGCCACCCCAGATAGCTCCTGCCATCATGCTCAGCCCCGGCCTCAGCATGTGCTGCCTCTTTGCTTTGTAGCATAGATTGCTTGGCTTTGTTCCTTTTGACCACTCCTTCCCTGCTGGCCTGAGCTGCTGGGGTTCAGGTATTCTGGCCTATTGGTGTCTAGTGGCCCCAAAGTGTACCCAGACAACTAGCTGCTCAACCATCCACTGCACTACAAGCCCGTGAAGGTGTCTAGTGGCTCCAGTAGGCAACAGGGGGTCCATCAGAGGGCACAGCAGAGCCCAGGAGGGCAGAAAGGCAGACCGTAGGCCAGGCAGGATGAGGCCGGAAGTGCACTCCTAAGTCCAGTCAGGCCTGGCTCAAATGATGACTGTGCATACACCCTGGTCCTCATTCTCTTCTTTATTGAAAGTTTAAGCAGAGCTTTAGACATAAAAGTGGGCAGATATTGAGATACTGGGGACCATAGGCGCATTGAGTGATGAGCAAGACCTGGCTCTCTCTGCTCCTCACCTCTTCCCTCACACAGGGAAGGCGGAGTTCGAAGGGTGGGAGGTTTCCAGGCAGCTAGCTCTGAAATAGCAAGAGAGGCAGCCGAGGCTCAGTAATGGCGCTGTCCTTGGAGCTGAGAGAGTGGTTCTGAGGAGACCTGGAGGCGCTGGGCTGCAAGTGAGGCCCAGCAGCGAAGTTATGGGTGAGTCAAAGCTAGCCCAGCCACAAGGAGGAGAAGAACCTGCATGTGTTAGGACTTAGGTTGCACAGGCTACAGTTTCATTCCGGAATTACAAGCCCAAGTACGAGGCCTCTGTTGTCTCGGACCAGGACGATTCCCGCCGTGAAGCTGATGGCTGCCGCTGGGGCCTTCTCTGGTCTGAGCGGCCCAGGCGCATGAGCAACATCCACATTTGTTCTCTGAACTTGACCCCCACAAAGGCATAGAGCAGTGGGTTGAGGCAGCAGTGCATGTAGCCCATGCCCGAGGTGACTGACTTGGCCACATCCACATGGCTTTCTCGACCACAGTTTCGGGCCAAAACTCCCAGGTCCATGAGGATATCCACCAACACCACCAGGTGATAGGGGGTCCAGCAGACAGCAAAGGCTACCACCACCACCACCACCAGCCTTATGGCTCGTAAGCGCCTCTGGCTTCTGGAGACCAGCAGCACAGCCAGGATATGGGCATAGCAGTAGGCCATGACTAGAAGGGGCAGCAGGAAACCAGCCACCAGCTGCAGTACACGCAGAGCAGTGTGACCCACCTGTGGGAAGTTGTACTGGCAGTGAATGGCATTGAGGCGCTGATCATGGTTGGCCGACAGGAAGATGAAGTCTGGGAGGGCGAAGAGCAGACAGAGTCCCCAGACAACTATGCAGGTGAGGGCGACGCGTACCCAGGGGTCCCTGCGGTAGATCTGGGTGGCATGCACTATGCTCAGATAGCGGTCAAAGCTTATGCAGGCCAGCAGGAAGGCCCCTGCATAGAAGTTGATGTTAAAGAGGGCACCTGCCACTTTGCAGAGGCCAGAGCCAAAAACCCACTGGACAGCCGCATCCACTGCCCACAGTGGGAGGGTCAATACCAGCAGTGCATCGGCCACAGCCAGGTGGAGCAGGAAGGTGTCCGTGCTGCTCAGGGCAGTACGATGACTCAGTAGCACAGCAGCCACGGCCCCATTGCCCAGTAGCCCCAGCAAAAAGAGGAGGCTGTAGAGGGCTGGCAGGAAGGCTCTGTCAAAGTTCAGACTGAAGTCCTGTGCACAGGGTGGGGAGTCAAAGTCGCTCTCGTTCTCCCCGTAATCATAAGGAGAGGTACTGTTTTCCAGAAGAAAGGCAAAGTCCGAGGCATCTAGCACTTGACGTTCACTCACCTGCCCAAGGAAGGGGAAAGAGGGAAGGGAGGCCGTTCTCTGTAAAGGCCTGGCAACTGTCTTGCCCCTTTGTGCCTCGTCATTTCTTCTGATGAGTGTTTCCCTTAGCAATAGCGCTGTCTGGGTCAGACCCTGAGCTGTCTCTTGCTCTCTCCCAGGTCCACTCCTTCTTAACGCCATCTACTCAGACTGGGATGGTAACTCCCCTTCGCAAAGGCTGGCAACCCCAGACCCTTTCTGGATTATATCTCGGGCCAGGGATCCTTTGCAGGGGGAGGAACTTCCAGGTCTGGAACCTCATATTCTCTTTCCCTTCACCCTGTGGCTTGCTGCCTCAATGTTACGGCCACAGTTGGATCAAGCACGTGCCTCTCCAGGTGCTTCCTCCCCATTCCATCTTCTAGTCCCTCCTTTTCCCTCCTCAGCCCTTATCTGGTGACCCTAACTTCCTGGCCTCATGGAGGCTTTCCTACAAGCCGCCGCGCACCCCTACACACACCACGCATGCTTCCCTTCCCCTACCCAGAGGCTTGTGCAACCATTTAGGCACCCACTGAGATCCCCAATAGGTAGGTCTCCCCAAGATGGCCAGGCTTATTTCAAACTCTTGGACTCAAATGAGCTTTCTGCCTCTGCCTCCCGAGTAGCTAGAACAATGTGGGTATACCACTTCACTTAGATAGCAGCAATCCTCTTCACCCTTGGCCTCATCTCAAACTGTCCCAGAGCTAGACATCACCGAAGCTGAGTCTCTACAATGTGACATTTTCAGATGAGGCATCCAAGCCACAGAGGTAGGAGACATGCCTGTGGTTAGTGGCCAGGCTGGGCTCCCAAGCCTCCTGATGCCCTTATCATAACCCCTGCATTCCATGCTGCTTACTAAGCTATCTGGTGCCCCTGGGCTTCGGGCCAGCCCAGACTTGTCCCTGGTACTGTAGCGTGGGCCACTTGGCGCTATAGTATAGCTGAGCTGGGCAGCAGAACTTACCTCAAGGTACATGGCTAGGCTGTGCTCTGGCTGTGGCTGCTGGGGTCAGGTCGCGTGCTGCCTGCTTCTCTGCTTTGGCACTTGTGGTTGGGAACTTAGAGTGAACAGAGGAAGTGAAGATTTCACCGCTCAGCACAGCCTCTTCCAAGGGGTTATCTACATCAGCCCTCCACAGGCTCCCTTTTCTGCCACTCCCTTAGCCAGGTACATACATTTGGAAGGAGTTAGCCAGGAACCTGGGACTGTTACCAAGTCTGGGTTCTTGTCCTACTCAGTACCATTCACAAATAACTAAGCATGCCTAGGAGCAGGCAGGAAGTGTGATTTGATGGCAGTGAGTGGAAAAGGGAAGGCCACCTTCTGAGGGCACATTCTCCCCAACAAGTCTGGGATTGGAGTCTCACTAGGACTAGGTTAGAGTGGGGTGTGCCAGGAATACATCCCATGCATGGGAAGGGAGGAGGTCTCCAAGAGCAGCGTGCCACCTCTTTTCTTCCTAGTTTGGGGATGGTGGCATCTGACCTGGCATGGGGGGAGATATATAAACGTATCTATAAAACCATTTTGGGATTATAATGAGCCCAAAGTCGTCTGGAATGTCATATAGTGTCCAGACCAGATGGAACTGCTCAGGAGCACACTCAGGAATTGGGAAATCCGTGATACCTCAGTCGTCGGCAGCTAGGATTGTGCGGGGCAAACAAGCTGGGCAGCTGATAGGACCACAGGCTATCGGGAATATTGACGTTCATCTGGTGACAGAGCCAGAAGAGCTGGGTGCTAGGGAAGGGTCTGGGGGGCGGGCTGGGGGGGGAAGTTTCTTTGAGGAGAGAGGAGAGGTCTGAAGCCGCACAATGGGGAAGTGGAGGGCAGCCCGGCTGCCAGGTGCAAGAGCTGCTTCTCCTTCACACGTCTTGCTCACTGCTCAACAACTTGGACCATGTGCTGCTCTGTCTTGGGTTGTGTCTGCTTTTACAGACCCATCTCAAACGTGGGTGGGCTGAAAGGATGTTAGCACTCTTAAAACTGGTTTTTTTTTGTTTTGCTCTTTTGAGACACCTCAGTCTGTAGCCCAACCTGGCTTTGAACTCACAGCAGCCTTCCTGGCTCAACCTCCCGAGTGCTGGGATTATAGGAATGCACCATTGTACACAGCATTTGGCAGGAGGGGGGGGGGTAGTCCACTATCTTTTAAACGGATAAACTGAAGTGTTCATCCAGCTAAAAACAAGTGGAGATCCACATATTTTTCACGAGGCTGAATGCAGAGGAGCCAATGCCTACATGGTGGAAGAGGCAAGCAATACAATATTATATAAGATACTTTGGCACTACTTAATGTGCATTGTTGAAACCACACACAAAGCAATAACTTGCATGCATCAGTGCCGGGTAGTGGAAGCCAGGACGGCATAAGGTTTTTTTCAGGGTCTTACTATGTGACACTGGCTGAACTAGAAGTCAACAGGCTGGCCTCAGGCTCAGGGATCCACTTGCCCCTACCTCCTGGGTGCTGCGATTAAAGTTGTGGGCTACCATGTCTGGCTTAATGTGATTTTTTTTTTTTTTTGGAGACAAGGACTGCAATATAGCCCAGGCTCACTTTGAGTTCGTGACCCTCCTGCTTTAGCCTCCAGAGTACTGAGATTACAGGTGCGAGCCACCACATTGGGCTGCCACTCGGCTTTCAAGCAGGTTGCTCTACCAGCGCAGCCCAAGCGTGTTGACATGACATGCACCTGTCAAGAATCAATGCCCTTCTCTCCCTGTGGACAGAGGGGACACTTCTCTGAAATAGTCTGTCACCTGCAGGGCTCAAGTCAAAGGGAACTGAGGTCTTAGAAGAGGTCAGAAGCTGTGTGAATGGAGGGGACTAGGAGGATTCCTGAGGTCAGGCCAGTCAGGATATATAGGACTTGCTATTTGATGACCTGTAGGGGCAGAGAAGACAGAAGCCCAGGAAAGACTGCAAAATCCCTTTAGTGTCCACAAGGACCACAGTTTCCCCATGCCTGTTTGTGACTTATGCAAATGAGAAGAACTGCAGAGACGATATACTTGTTCACTCGCCCTTCCTTCCTTCCTTCCTTCCTTCCTTCCTTCCTTCCTTCCTCCCTTCCTTTCTCCCCCCCCCCTTTTTTTGAGACAGGGTTTCTCTGTGTAGCCCTGACTGTCCCAGAACTTGCTCTGTAGACCAGGCTGGCCTCGAACTCACAGAGATCCGCCTGCCTCTGCCTCCTGAGAGCTGGGATAAAAGGCGTGTGCCACCACCGCCCCTCTACTTGTTCATTTTCAAGGACTTAGTCTGCCATTGTGTTCCTTGTCCCATTTTTGACATTAAAGGGGACTTTTGCTTTATGAGAGACGTGGTGGTGGAAACAGATGGCCATTTTAGAAATACCTTGTGTTGGCAGAAGCTGCCAGTCCAGTGCGTGTCTTCCCAGTGGCTGCCGAAATCTTACAGGTCTATGTGAAGTGTAAAGGTCTACAGGTCCCTGGTCCCCTTCCTGGGCCTTACTCTCATTTGTCTAGGGGAAGATGATCCTCAGCCCAGGTTGCTGGGAGGGATGATAGGCTGAAGGTCAGGGGTGGAGAACCTTCCTTTCTGAGGCCCGACAAGCAGACGTCAGAATCAGGTCCTGATAGACCAGCCGGGGTTCTCACTGCTCCTGAGGGACCTGCACAATTGTCATGCAATCGACAGAACATTGAGCTCGTCTGGACTCCAGGCCTAGTTCCACCCTGTCCAGCCTCTGTGACCTTGCACAGATCAGAACCATAGGCAGGCAGGCAGTAGAGTTGCTCTAAAATTAGCTGAGGTAGCCACAGGCTTGTGCATCTAGTACTCGGCCAAGGGCACAACCAAGAGCCCCAGGTGAGCACAATATAGACCCCGGACTCAGAGCCACCTGGAAACTTCCATGCCAAGAGAGCCCATGATAGAGGGTAGTAGCTCATGGGGCATGTAAGTATGGCCGTGGCCAGGGCCAGAGGGCTGGTTCTCCATAAAAGTGGTCCCTGGCCATGATTGATAGAGGGGGCTCTGCCAGTTCTAGCCGAATTCCCTGGCTGTCCAGCTATGTGACCCCGGGAAAGCATTTCATCGCTCTGCTTCAGTTCCCTTGTCTGAAGAGTGGGTCTAAGGATAGCACGCATTTGATGGGGCTTCCCTGTGGACTGTACACCATATGTGTGGAAAGTATGTGCCAAAGGTGAGTACCCAGTTAGTAGCTCACTCCTAGACTTCTGGTGTCAAACCATCTCCCAAGTCTCAAAATTGCAGTGCTGGGCTTCGGCTGTTGTTTGCAGCTTAAATAGCCTGGAAGTTTCTGTGTCACAGAGCTGAGTCAAGCCCTCACCTTGCCTTCTAATTTGACCCTCTTCCATCCCAAGACTAGGTCAGAGGCAGCTACCTAGCCAAAAGCCCACAGCCTATGCTCTGGTCTCTGGGCTGTCCCTCTTCTGCAGCAGGGAGGGCTGAGGAGGAAGTTAGTCAGAGTGAAGCTGCCTGGGGCCTCACCAGTGGTCAAGGTGTGAAATGTGCACCTGGCTCTTCTCCGGCTCCCCTCCCCCTGTTGTTTTTCATTCTTTCACACCTCTGAGCTGTGGTTTGGGGAGATAGGAGGCTGGGAGATAGACACCTTTGTGGCCAGTCCCTCACAGGAAGGGGGGGGCCTACATTAGGAACAAGGGCCATTTCCTTCTCTCCCCTAGCCTGCTGCTCCACAGCCTCCCTAGGTCCTCACGATAGACCCCCCCAGCCAAGCTCCCCAAAGTCCCAGGACGCAGCTGCCAGCCCCAGGCCACCATGAGACTACCTAGGCAAGACTAGAGATTCTTGACATCAAGAAGAGTCCCATCTCTGGGCATCTGCTTCTCACACTCCTGGGTCTTGAGGCTTTCTTCCCTTGGCCCCACATTTCCCAAGGGAAAGGGGCACTCAAGTCACAAGGAGGCCCTGGGACAGGGATATGGGGTAGAGTGTGTGTGTGTGGGTCCTTTCCTCTGCCCGTGATAGCGCAGCTCTGGGCCCTCCTGCGATTTAAACCCTTTCGAACAAAGTATGCTGGGGCCCAGGGACAGCGTGGGTCAGGCTGCTGCCAGCCATGCCCGAGCTGCTTCTAGCTCGGGAGCTGGATGCACGGCAGCAGGGTGATAAGAACACTACTGTTAGGTCCCAAATCCTCCAAAATGGCACTGACAATGTCCCGAAATGACAGTCTGGGCTCAACTCCAGCTGGACCCTGACAGGGTGAACAGAAGGGTTTCTGGTGGATAAACAAAAGCTTACAGTCAGCATTCCTCAGAAACCTGTTTCCGTTGTCAGAAAGAGCCATTACTGCCCTACCTCTGGCAACCTCTGCAAATGGGGCATCTGACTCCTTATTATCATCACGTACCTGTAGCACACATGAAAGCCCCCACGCTAGCCTCCTGGCTCTTCTCATCTCCCCCACAGCTACTCTAAACTTCCAGGCTGCTCTGGCTTGCACATCTTCCTCCTGGCAGCTAACCCCCACCCCCATAACTGGCAAGGCTTTCCCCACCTTTTTTTTCTACTCTCGCTGTCCTTGAGAGGTAGCCGTGTAGCTTTGGACACCCCTCCTCAAACTGCCTTTGGTTATTCTCTTCCCCCTGAGAGGTGGCCATGCAGTTTTGGACACCCTCCAACCCCCAAATGCCTTTGGCTATTCTTTTCCTCTTGAGAGGTAGCCATGTTGCTTTGAACTTCCTCAAACAACCGTTTCTTTTTTCCACCCATAGGGTGGTCCAGTTTGGTGGTTTCATTGTGCCCTCACTTACAACCGCCTAGCATATGTTTTCACCAAAAACTTGGTTTGTAATTCTGCATGTGAGATTTTCTTTTGCTCACCAGTGGTAAGAGACTTGTTTTCCTTCCCACGTCTCCTCAATCTTCCCGGTTTTTCTAGTCTGCCTCATCCGAACTCTGAACTGCTGGAAAATGACTCAACTCATCAAAAGTAATTTCCTACCATCCCAGCAGAATGTGGTATTAGCCTTGGGGGCCCTGTGCATGGTGCTGCGGCAGTAGCTCTGCCTCCTGTCACAGCTGAGCTCATAATTCTCCTTCCA